CACTCTTTCTCCTCTTCACCCAATAGCACACATGTTACATCTTTGGTTATAATCCCCCAGGTCCCTGAAGCTCTGTTCATTTCTTTTCAGTTTATTTTCTCTCAGTCATTCACATTTGATAATTTCTATTGGTCTATCTTTAAGTTTACTGATTCTTTCCTCTGCCATAGTCATATTCACATTGAGTTGTTTATTTCAGTTGTATTTTTCAGTTCTAAATTTCCAGTTGGCTCTTCTTTATATCTTCTGTTTCTCTGCTGAGACTTTTTATTTTTTTATGTTTCAAGCATGTTCATAATTGCTCATCAAAGCATGTTATGATGGCTGCTATAAAATCCTTGTTATATAATCTATATCACCTTGGTGTTACATCATTGATTGTCTTTTCTCATTTAAGTTGAGGTTTTCCGTGTTCTAGGTATGATGAGTAATTTTCAGTTGCATCCTGGACATCTGGGTATTGTGTTGGGAGACTCTAGATCCTATTTAATCTTCTTTTTTTTTGCAGGCAGTTACCCTGTTTAGGTGTAGCCCACAGATCCAGGTGGGGATGGATGTTCAGTTTCTCACTGGACCCCACTCACACCATCCCAGTAAAAACAGGGCACTGCCTCACACTGCCATGCCTTGCCTCATTGCCAATGAATACGGGTAGAAATTCCATTCCCCACTGGACCCCGCTGGGTGGAGACTTAAAAAGAAAAACGTACATACAGAAATGTGCATATATCATCAGTATGTGACCATAAATTTTCACAAACTGGAAATATGAGAGCATTTTAAGAATTTTCTTATTTCTTTGCATGTTCTTATAAAATGTATCAAATACTTTTCCCCTGTTAGTTCCTGACTTATTCACTCACCTATTGACTCTTTTCCTCCCTCTGCCCTTCATCTCTTTTTCTGTACATTCATTCTTTTATTTATTTATTTACTCATTCCTTCACATATCAGTTTCCCACCCTCCTCCCTCTCCTCTGCCCACCTATCCACCCACCCATCCATCCATCCATCCATCTATCCATCCATCCATCTGTTGTTGAAGGAACAGATCCTCCCTCATGCCCCTTCCCATGGCAGCGTAATCAGAAGGCCTTGGTCCATGTCCTGTCATTACCACTGATTTCTGTTGTGACCCTCTGGGCCTCAGTTTCCCTCATCTTCCCTCATCTGTAATAGGAAGGGCTTGGCTCGGTCCTCTCTCTGACCCTGAGGCTTGGGTTGCATATATTATTTTTGGAGTTTCCCAGGAACTTCCCAGAAAACAAGCCAGCCCAGAAGGGGATGCCGATTGGGTGGGGCCTGTTCTGTGCCCTCGGCAGTGTCTGACCACCCCCACCCAGGCTGTGGTGGTCAGGGCCTCCCAGGTTCGCACAGGCTGGGCCCTGAGGGGTGGGCTGGGGTAAGATGGAACAAAAGTGATATTTTGGGAGGATGAGTCAGCCCAAGTGTCAGTCTAGAAACAGTGCCAACTTGCCTCTGCTGTTCTGTTCCTCTGTGTGGGAGTGTGTGGCATGTGGAGGGGAGGGAGCCTCCAGCCCTTCTCCTCAACCTGGGGCGGGACCCAGAATACAGGGTGTCAGAGAGGGAGAGACCTGGAGGTCATCCAGTGTCTGATCCCCTTGTTTCACAACTGATAGTTTGGAAGCCTGGGGAGGACAGGAGTCACACAGGAAAGTTGATGACACAGTCAGGACTGGGACTAACTCCCTGGTCTCCTTATCTGGAACCCTTGGCTCAGTCACATGCTAGTCATTGTTGGTCTGGACTCACTTTATCCTGAGAGGTGGGGACCTGAAGCAGAGACAGGGGGAGGCCCTTGTCTCTACAGAGCCCAGCTATGCATTTAGATGCCTGTTTGTATATTTGAACCAGGACGTCCAGATACTTTGCAATGGGAAGTGTATTCAGGGCATCTAGTCCTTTTTATTGCTGGAAATAGAAGAAGGTTAATTCACTTTACAAGTGGAGCCTGGCATTCTCCTCCCAGGGCCCCCACCATGGGGGCCTTGTCCCACGTGTTCCATGTGACCTAACCTCCTGTGTGGCTAGGACAGTGCTGGTTTTTAATGGGACAATGCCAGCCAAGAGGTTAGAATCCCCCCGCCCCCATCCACCCTCCAGTGTGTGGTGCCCAGACTGGTCTGTAGCCTGGAGATAACAGTCCCAATGTCTGCTCCAGGGAAGAGCAGTGAACATTGCAGGGAAAGGGAACTCTGTGTC